CGGATTGCGTGAGTCGAGTAATATCGCGTTTTTGCGTTGAGACCCTTTATATGGACTGCAGTATCTTCTTGATGACAAGCATTTTTTGGGAGGCTGACTTAATCTAAATTTATTTCACTATCAGGTTCTCAATTTGTTGTGACCATCGTTCTGTTAGGAAAGTTTTCCTATATTTCAATAAAAAATCATCTTTCTACTTTTCCATTTTTCACAATGCAGAACTATATTTTTTGCAGATATTTCTAGACTTGGGATTATAAGTGGCGTTACTGACAATACTTCGGCATCCTTTGGATTCTCAGCACCATCTTCATCTACTCTCCCTGCCGTCCCAGACTCCGTTCACCATGGTGCACAAGATACTCAATATTTAACTCCATCCAGTGCTGCTATTTCGGATCCAAATTTACCGGTTGATGCGGACTCTGTTCTCGATCCCTCGGTATATTCAAAAAGCGAAAAACTTCTAAGATACGCTCTCAGTGCGTTGCAATATTCGGATAGAAGCACTGCTATTCGCTATCTCTCTCAGGCACTTAACCTTTTGCAGACTGGCCGTGAATGATTTCGCAGACTTGTAATTTGGCATTCGTATTTGTTTACTTTTGTTCCATACATCTAGCCATTCTTAGGATGTGAATATTCTTCTACAAACTTGTCATTGATACTGTTTGATTCTTTGATTTTGCATCATTTTTTTACTCATCGATCTTATGACTGAATCCATAGAAATGTATCTGCTTCTTACTATGATATTAATGCGATTTTCCTCCTCTTTCTGGGTACTTTGTATTTTATCATATATATGAAGACTAAGGTGGAGGGGCCTTCTGCTTGGTCAGAGTCTTCTTTAGCTTTATAATGCTCGTTCGATCTTGTTTTCCCTACATCGTCGGAGCGTCAGGGAGACCTGGTGGAACTTACCTACATTTTTATCCTTTGCCATATTATTCGTGATTTCCAGCTTCGGGCAATTGACTTGGTACATTCAGATAGGTTTCGCCGGCCTCGTCAATGAGAGGCGTCATTGTTAGCACAGAGTTGCAACTTGTCAAAGTGACAAATGAAAGCAATCCCCAATGGTAAATTTTCTGTTCAACCGCTGTGGCATCACTCCGCTCCTATTTTTCGTACTGCCTTCTAGTGCTGCATCTCTTTCTTTCAACCCCACTTCATATGGCCCATTCACTCGTTCACACAATTCTGTGCTCATTTCATCTAATGTCGCCTAGGAGTGTGTCGCTATAAGTGGGTTTAGTGAGGCATAATCAGCTCCACCTGTACCAGGTGTCGTTTGCAGAGCTCCTGATCTACATTCTGCTCCTCTCTCTTACCTCGCTTGTCAGTTGATGGCTACTAAACATCAAAATCATTACCTGGCTGCATAAGAGCCTGCAATTCCGATTCCCACTTACGCCATATTCGAAGATTTAGAGTAGACAATGCCAATTAACATGTACATGCCACTGCCGGGAAATTTTCGTCTACATGACTTTTCTTCAAACCCAAAACTCGGTTATTCTCTTTCTCACCGAATCCACATTGGGTCTAATTCTTTGGGGCCCTGTGTCCGACTTAAGTGATAACCGCTGGTATGAAAATGCACTACTTCCCTTTTCCCTCCTGACTCACGAGAAGCACACCTCTCGTCCTTCAAGTTCACACTACCATAAAATCCTGGGGCACTAGGATGTTCATGTATGTGTTGGCTAGTATCCATAGTGGTCAAGAATGTCAGCAGTCACCTCTCCTTGAGACATAGATGCGAAAAGTACGTACAAACAAACACACACGCACACACTGGTTACCTATATCTGGCCCACCCATACATCTAACCTTTAATTTCCTTTCATACATCCCACAGGCGGACCTTCCAGGTTAAATTTTAGTAGATTCCAGGTTTTACTCGTCTCACTGCAATCGCCCTTTTTTGCTTTCCATTTGTCCCTCATGAACCAGTTTTTAGCGATGTATCTTTATGTTCTTGAACAGTTGTCATGTCTTCAAGCGTCTTCTTTTTGACTTCTTCGCTGAATCTTTATTTCTGGCCAGACAGTACACGAAATTATCGCTGGCTCTTCCCTCTTCCAATCTCATGTGCATCAGGTTTTTTTGAAAGAGAGCGTCCACAACCTCCCTGATCTACTTCCTGGTGTTCTTTCCATGCTATGCCAGTGTTTCCCTCGTACTGCAGTTAATTGTGTGGCCGGTAAGAGCTATGTGTTTACCTATCTCCGATCTTTTCGTATCCGTTTTTTTGCATGCTCGCTGGTGTTATTTACTCCTTGGAATGATTCTCCTCGGTAAGCTGGTGATGAGGGTTGTCCTTTTCTTCATGATTGTACGAATGTTCCATTTCCATAGTATCCGCATTAGCTTCCGAGCCAATTCGCTGGAGGCTAAGCATATTCATCGTTTTTCCTCCCACTTGATTTCCTTCCATAATCTCCATCCTTCCATCTACTCACCATCCGTAGGTTGCGTTGTGTTGCTTTTGGATATCCGTTTCTGAGAAACATCTGAGCTGGTTTCTCCAGTTCCTTTTTATTCCATAAATATAGTTAGACTGGAAGTTAAAAGTTATTTTAGCATGCTATTTCTTTCGGAAACTCCGTTTCTTCTCAATTCTTTA